ATGTACAACTGACTTGGTCAGGCGCCAGACTCGACGATGGAGCAGCATGACGGCTTAGAGTTACAGTTAGCAGTTTAGCGCCGTGAACTTCTACCAATGATTGATGAGGACTTGCTAGAGTCTGACCCCGAGCATCCCACACCACGCGGTTGTAGCCATATCTGTGCTTCTTTGACGCATGCCCAGTTCGGTACAAAACATTATCTAAATGACGACCTTTTGATGAGACAGAAAAAACACGGAAGCGAGTAAAGCACGTACGTTGAAAAAAGGATTGACCTCCGACTTCATGGATGGTGGTAAACTTGAGCTCATGCATTGTTCTTTACGCCGGTCGGCTGAAGCAAAAGAACAGCCGCTTTGAACCACCTACGACCGACTACACCTGAATGCCGTACTCAAACCTATTGAGGTGCGAATATCAGTCTGAAAAGTCAACCTTTCCACCGAAATCGACCCCTTGATTTTCCGCAAGCGCGCTGACACCTCATACAAGCCAGAACCGAAGCTCTGCTGAGCTGAAGTTGAGAATGAAAGGATCACGCAGGTTCACCATCCACTCAAGCACGACCGGGACAAAGGACTTCAAGCACGCTGAAAGTGGTACAATCGTCGCTTGCCGACAAGGCCCGGGACGTAGTGGTAGTACAGATTGTGTTCAGAGATGGCGGAGAACTAGAGAGGTAGATGGAGCCGGTGGTGGCTGCTTTGTGGGCGTAGTCTGCCATGCTGTTTTCCATTTTTTAGAATCCAAAATTGAACTGGGGGGTGGAAGACGAACTCGACAAATGGTAGCAGCAGTGAATGGGACCCTCGAAGATGAAGTTGACGTTGAAGAATCCCAAGAGGGAACAATGCCCATACCAGGCGCGATACAGGGGCAACGGTTTAACTGACGAAAATGCTCCACATAATCGTTCGTTTGAGATTGCTTGAGAAGTACAACCAGCTGGTGATTCGCTGTGCGTATTGCGTGGAGTATGAGGTTGTGTCCCCCAAGTCCAACCTTTTTGGACCTCAACTACCTTTCACGTCATTCAGGCCCACGAATACCTCTTCACTGGAAACCTGGAATCAAACACCCTCAGCCGCAGGCGGCGCCCACCCAGCATCGAACGCGTCAATTCTAACAACGGAGGGAGGACGTGGAAGTGACGATGTAGAGTTAGTGTTGTCCGACGCATCGAGGGAAGTTTGTATGAGGGTAGGGATGAAGATTTGAAGTGAGGGGGGAGGCAGTTGAGGCGGAAGACGAAGCTTTCGAGGTGGAATGGGGGGTTGAGGCGGAAGGGATAGTTTGGAGGATCACTTTTAGGAAGGGCCGAGGAGGTTCTTTGGGAACGGTCTGCACGCAGGGATGCTGGTGGGGTGGGCCATGTAAACTCGGATGGCGGGATTATGATCTGAAGATCTGAAGGGGCGAGGGAGCGCGAAGGAGAGTCGAAGCCATGCGATTATGGTGGGTTTCCTTCAACGAGTTCTGGTTTACACCCACGTAATGGTCGCATACGAGCACTTGTGTGTGTTTCTAGAGTCGTGGCCTGTGAGTAGGCTTTGAGCGGGACTTACAGCAAGATGCAAAAACGTAGACACCTCTCCAAATTTCCCAGACTCCGCCTCGCTTTGTACAAACAACCGCTTTAGGAAATGAGCGGGTGTGAGTGATGCAAACATTCTGTTCTCGCTCCACCAACCTCCACTTCGTGCATTCGCTAGCATCTCGTCTATGTCATTTCCTATCAACCCTCGTAACAATGAGATGCCGTTTTTGTTCGGCAGATATAAAACGGTAGTTCCCCGACATATTTGAAGATGGGAAAAGAGAAATTATATAGAAGTACCATATTTGTAGGAGTATATATAATAAAATGGCGCGCCATGAAGCCACTATGACGTGTCGTGCGGCGGAGTTGCACCAAATGCGGTTGTTTGTACAAAGCGAGGCGGTAGTCTGGGAAATTTGGAGAGGTGTCTACGTTTTTGCATCTTGCTGTAATCATCACGCGCATCTGAGGGTGGATTTTACGTTGTAAGAAAGAAGCTCAAAATTCGAGAGACGTACCTTTGTCTCAAAGTTTTATGTTTGTGGTGCAACTCAAGGCCAGGAGTGGATGACAAGGAGGAATGAATCACGAGTGCCCTGATGTTTGCCGTGCGCGCATTATTATTGTCGAAGGCACGTCTACTCTGCGACACCGTCGTCGAGATTTCAGTGATGTTTCAACCGTCTCTGCTTTGGCACCATGCAGTTGTTTGAGGAGGCTCTCTGCAAAGCAGCTCTCCCTCAACCCAACCTCCATGGACCCTCCAAGTAAGGCCACAACCAAGCCACAACCACGTCGTTCATCTCCAACCCCCTTACAGTAACCATACATAATCCAGCCTATTCGCCCTGCGTGAGTACCTAAGTCCAGTATTATCCGCGATCCGTCATCACTCGTCACCCATCTAGGTTTTCAAACAGCAAATTATAAGAACACGGCTGTATTACACCCAGTACGTTCACAATCGACTATCTACCTCCTACACGTCCTTTGCTCACCGTGAACAACAGAGGAATTTGTCTCTGCAGGTGACTTTCTGGTGTACAAGTTCCCCGTGTGGACATAGTAAGCCATTCCTCCTGTTATCCCATCGCGAAAAACTGACTGAGGTTACTTACGAATAGGGAAAAAGAAGACGCCTCCAAATTCCGAACCCATCCGACAAACCATACCTAGTGACGCGTGGCGTCCCTAGCCTACACAGACGCAGACGAGGACGTTGAGCGTCTCCTCTCCTTCGCTGATTCCTCTTCCCCCTCCGCAGATGGCGATGAGTGGGTCGAGACGCAAGCGGGCCGTCAAGCGCATCGAACGGACTCTGCAACGAACGCGGGTGAGATTGCGGATATCCCTGATTTGGATGGGGATGGGCCGCATGAGGACGAGGAGAGGATTGTGAGGGGGTTGGGGGGGCATGTCGTTGGGTGCGGAGGGTGAGGGTGTTGGGCTGGAGACGGCTGATTTGGATGATATCCCTGATATGGAGGATGATTTGGAGGAAGGGGATGCTGAGGCTACGGCTGCTGCGCCTAAAGCCTCAGTTATACCTGCTACTGCTGGGGTGGTTGATCCTAGGTATGTTGTTGTTGGGTTTTCTGAAAAAGTCGAAAGAGTGCCGATGATTTCTTTGTAGCACTAATGTGGAAGTCGCAAAGGGCAATCTCCTTCAAGTCCGCACGTATGATGTACGACAAGTATTACCAGACCCCACGCGTTTGGCTGATCGGCTACGATGAGGTTTGCCTTTCGCCCATTTTTCTTAATACACTAGCTAACGGAAACAACAGAACCGCACCCCACTAACCCCCTCCCAAATCTTCCAAAACAGCTCAGCAGACCACGCCCAGAAAACAGTAATAATCGAACCATTCATCCACTCCGTCTCTCTACAAGCCCCCTCCGTGCATCCATGCAAACACGCCAGCGTCGTGAGGAAAGTGATAGAAAGGATGAACAACAGTGTCATCGAGGAACAGCTTGCACAGCGCGGTAAACCCTCGGGGAAGGACACCCCTAAGAAAGAGAAGAAATGGCCATTCAGCCAAAAGTCGTCTGGGAGTGCCAAGGACGTTCAACAGCTGCAAGCTGGGGCTGAGGAAGAGGAGGTGGAGGGGATGAGGGTTGATTTTTATTTGGTCGTTTTCCTCAAGTTTATTGCGAGCATCGTGCCGACTATTGAGGTTGACTCGACTACGTCTTTTTGAGTTTGATGCTGCTCTCCCTTCATCTGTACCTCCCCAGGCCTCCCTCATTGCTAAGCTGTCGTTTCTTTTACCTGTATTTTTTACCATTGTTAATACTTAGAGCTCCTCTTTCTTTGTGAATATGTTGCAATTTGGAAGATGTATCTGTATCTTTTGTGTTTTTCTGACAGACTTTGCAGAATGCATAAATCATGTATCATCTCAGCCCCTAGTGTTTGGAAGTCCGGTCTTGTGACCGGAAAAAGACCGTAACCAGACCGGACCTGTGGTTACGGTCTTTTATTTTTGAGATGTAAAGACTGCAAAAAAACCGGTTAACGTGAACCGGTATTGACCGGTTTGGACCGGTCTTTTCTAACCCCTTAAATACCCTTTAAAACGCACCCAAGAACGTACGATTTGGTAAAAAAACGAGAGAGATATGAATTAAAATGTAAATTACTTTTGGGAATAATAGATGTACCAGACTTATTTTATAGAAACACAAATTCCTAACGGAATTTGACGTTCTTGGGCTCGTTTTGAAGCTAATAGAGATGTTAATAAATTTACCGATTCACAAATTTAAAATATTGGCCTAAAGACCGGTCATAAACCGGTTAAAACCGATGCAGACCGAAACTGGTCTATAGACCGCAAAAAACCGCAGTCTGCGGTCTTTTTGCGGTTCAGTCTGGTCTTTTGACTTCTGGGGAAAAGGCAGACCAGTTACGGTTACGGTTAACACCCCTGGGCATCAAAAAACCGGACCAAACCAGACTTTCAAACACTATCAGCCCCCTCTAATGACTCTTTGAACTGTGAAGACAACTCAAGGGCACCCTCAAGCTGTGGAAGCTTGAGAACATGAAAAGCTTGTGGACTTTAAAAAAAATTACCATCCTTGACTTTCTTTTGCTCAAATGCAATCTATGTTTTTGGGAACAACAAGGCAAAAGGTGCATCATAATGGGTGGTAACTAGAGACATGTGCTGCATATATGAAATTCTGGGAAGGTGGGCTGAAACTTTTATAAAGCTAAAATCAAATAAATGAGAAGACCTTGGAAGACTTGGAATATTGATACTCACAAAGACGATTGTCCATAGCAATCTTTACAAGGGCCTGTTTCTTTTGGTCCTTGGTTTTCATATGAGAGGCCTCCACAATGGCAGTATTGATTTTTGCCACGTCAGCAGACAAGTTGAACTTTTGAATGGCTGATTCAAAGGGGGCAGTGGACTTTGAAGGTTTCTGTTTCCACAGAAAAAAAGAGTGCTCTGCAATGATAGCAGTCACTGAGCAGTAAAATAGTAGTTATGATAGAGTGGTCATAAATGAGAGTAGACACACCAATACATAGAAAGGCAATGTCCTTGAAGGATTTGGTATTGTGAATCTGGATAGAATTATGTGGTGGTCAGAATAATGAATAGCATTTACACAGTGAAGCTAGTGAAGGTTTACCAAGGACCAGTCTGTATGATTGAGGACATCCTTTGCCTAAAAATAGTAATTGGTTCAGTCAATACTACTGGTTTTTATAAAAATATTGGAAGAAACAATAAAATACTGACTGTCTATTTGAACAAGTGGAGTTTCATAAGTGTTTTTCTAAAATTGTAGAACTGAACTCACAATCTCATCATTTCTTAGCAAAATGAAAAGAGAAGAAAGCTGAGACCTACCTTCTATTTAAAACACAGGCCACCCTCTTATCAACAACAAGTAGAGAAGAACAGTCAGATGGTGACTTACATCCTGTTCAAAACCCATAGCATGCTCTGGTCAGGGACAAGCAAGAAGAGCCAGCCAGATCCTGACTTACATCCTGTTTAAAACCAAGAGCATGCTCTTGTCAGGGACAAGCAGGAAGAGAAAGCTGAGACCTACCTTCTATTTAAAACACAGGCCACCCTCTTATCAACAACAAGTAGAGAAGAACAGCCAGATGGTGACTTACATCCTGTTCAAAACCCAGAGCATGCTCTTGTCAGCAACAAGCAGGAAGAGCCAGCCAGATCCTGACTTACATCCTGTTCAAAACCCAGAGCATGCTCTTGTCAGCAACAAGCAGGAAGGGCCAGCCAGATCCTGACTTACAGCCTGTTCAAAACCCAGAGCATGCTCTTGTCAGCAACAAGCAGGAAGGGCCAGCCAGATCCTGACTTACAGCCTGTTCAAAACCCAGAGCATGCTCTTGTCAGCAACAAGCAGGAAGGGCCAGCCAGATCCTGACTTACATTCTGTTCAAAACCCAGAGCATGCTCTTGTCAGCAACAAGCAGGAAGGGCCAGCCAGATCCTGACTTACATTCTGTTCAAAACCCAGAGCATGCTCTTGTCAGCAACAAGCAGGAAGGGCCAGCCAGATCCTGACTTACATTCTGTTCAAAACCCAGAGCATGCTCTTGTCAGCAACATGCAGGAAGGGCCAGCCAGATCCTGACTTACAGCCTGTTCAAAACCCAGAGCATGCTCTTGTCAGCAACATGCAGGAAGGGCCAGCCAGATCCTGACTTACAGCCTGTTCAAAACCCAGAGCATGCTCTTGTCA